TTTGTTTTGTTCCATTCTTCCTTAGCCATGCTTGCTAACCCACCATTTTGGCCCAGAAGGCAACATCACTGTGTGAGGGCAAACAGAGCTTTAGGTGACTGCTGTGGAGAGAAAAACAGGTCAAAGCAATCAGCCTAGGGTCCTGATAGGTAGAGCAAAGGAAATTTCTGAGCAGAAATGTGGGCAGCCTAGGCCAGCCACCCCTCCTGCTCTTCAGTTACAGAGCATCGCAGTGAAGCTCTTGGCTGTAATCTCCGCTCAGAAGACCTGGTGCTAAAGCACAAAGTTATCTTACTATCTGTCCATCTAACTGGCCAGTTTAGCTTATTAGAGCAGAGCCGCAAGAAAGCATGTTTACTTTCCCTGTGACACGTGTGCATTCTGGGGTACTGTCCTCAGCAGACAGCACACTCCTGAAGAACAAGCACAGGCTGTGTTTACATGGCCAAAGCATCCAGAACACATGTGGTGCTGGGTAATGTTTGCTTTTGATTGAATGATCATCTATCCAGGGAGCTGAGACAATGCTTCTAGTTAACACTCCACCACTATCGCCATAGCCAAGCTCCATCGGTTCCTTGGGGACTGGGAAATAAAGGTAGGTCACAGGCTGCCGGCAAATTTGCAAACTCATGGTGGCCTGTGAACCTGGAACAGTACAACAGCTCTGTGAAAATCAGCACATGTCAAATGGCAAAAAGCAGAGCTGCCATGGCCCTCTAATGGCTTCACCCATGTTGGCTTCTTGATACACTTGATTTTCAAGTGTAAAACATAGCTATATGGCTAGACATATGACACATGCTTATAATCCCACTGCTGAGGAGACAGAGAAAGAAAGATGAAAAACTCACGGTTGGGCTTAGCTAATGTAGGATGTAGTGTGAGGTCAACCAAACTACATGAGACCATCTTAAAAAGCAAACACAAGCATTGACAATAACAAAAGAGCCCACACTGTATGAAAGGGGCCGTTTGATGGCCCAGAGGTTGGAGAAGGAGCCCCAGGATTCTGAAATTCTCTGGATCTTCATGAAGAGTATGCCTCTGCTGGCATGTGTGTAGGGAGAACTTAGCACTAAGAATTATGCCATTTATTCTGCATAACTCAGGCTTTAGCTTCAAATTTTGAAGAGCAAAGCTATTCTTTTTAGAACAAACAGTTACGCAATTGAGTTGAACCTGAACCAGAGCTCATGAGCTCAGATCTGGCTACAAGAGGTGGCTGTAGAGGGATGCAGCCAAGGCCCACCGCTACCTCACCTACCCCTGATCCTTGGAGTTCAAGCTGTCTTCCCCTCTATTGATTTGAGAAAAGAAGTTACCATCTGCTATTTTTTCAACCAAGACTTCTCACTGGTGGGTTATAGGAACTTAAAAACTGAGTTTGGCTTTCCAGTGTCTCTCACACTCGTTTTAACCTTCTTCTCATGAAGGCATCAGAGTTTCTTGTTCCACGTACAGGAAGTTATCTGTGTCATTGGAAATGGAATGCCCCTGAGTTTTACTTAAAAAAACACCAGTAAAAAGATGGAGAATAAAATTTTCTATTTTCACTCAACATGGCACGGATGTGATGCTGAGTGTCAGTACTCGCTGTAGTAGATTAAGGAAAATGCAGACAGCTGGTAAGCATCGCACCTGCATTTGTAATTGGGTGTTTTGGGTAAGAGATTGAGCCTAGAGCTAAATGGGACACCCACTATCAGTCTGTGGTATCATCAGTTAGCTGGTGCTCAAATGGGTCGGAAATGCAAAGAAGAGATGAATTCTTGCTTTCGCTTCAGATCAGCATCCCCTCTCTTGGGCATCAGAACTCCAGGTTCTTGAAAATTTGGACTCTGGAATCTACCAGCTCTTGATCCTTTGCTGTGGGTAGGAACTGAACCATCTACTTCGTTGGATCTGAGGCCTTCAGACCTAGATGGAGCCGTGAGACCAGCTTTCCCACTTCTGCAGCAAGTAGGCAGCTTCTTGTGGGGCTTCTCGGCCTCCATACTCAGGTGATGCAAAGCCCTAGAGGATCTTCCTTTCTCTGTTCTTGGTTCTGCCCCCCTGGAGAACCCTGACATGCAGGGAAGAGCACCCTCGGAATCTGCAAAGGTGTTTGTGCTCAACACTCGTGCATGACTAGCTTAACAGCAAGCTCAGTATAAAAAGAAAGTACAAGAAAAAGTTAAAATGGAAGAAGACCTATTTCTACAGGTACTATGAGTTGCTCCTCTCCTAGAAGAACTGAACCCGAGGTATGGGAGGGTTAGACCTCACAGCGAGGTAGACAGCCATGAGAACAGGCTCCACTCATTGACTTTCTCTGTAAAAACAGGCACAAAGGCGTGCCTTTCAATTTGTGCAATGAAGTATAAAGTTGTTTCCTCATCTCCAGCTTTGACAGAATATTAGGTGATACTCTCATACGTTTTCATTTTACATTTTAAAGACTCATAACCAACAAGAAATGCATATAAAGCTTACATTTTAAGAGGATTTTAGTTTGCTTTGCAGGATATTAAAGGAGTCAGGATGAGCCATCAACCTGTCATCTGACATGGTTTGCAAAGGAGAAGGCTTGCCCTTTACAAATCAGCCATGTGCTGTTTTCCTTCCGTGCACATAAGGTGCAGAAACCTGTGGCTGAAACCCCTAATGGGCTATGTGTCTCAAAACCATCTCCTCCAGGCGCAGCAAATAGATTCAGTTTATGTACTCCCTGAAATTGCTCCCCTCGTTACAGGGTGGTGCCACAAAAAGCACAGAGAATGAATTTCATTTGTAGATGGAAGACAAACAGAGCTGAAACAATCACTTTCATTCTTTCCTGTTGTTGAAGATTTTCTGTTGAACACAAAGCCCTTGTAGATAAGAAAGAAGCAGCACCTTCTGAGCGAGAGTCTGCAGGTGTTAGTGGCTGTCATCTGTCATTTCCTGAGGATCCTCTTTTTATGTGTTCATATAGGCTTCTAACCACTGAATCAGCTCCACGAGAGTGCTAGCTGAGCATGGAGGATCTGAACTCCCAGCTTTGGTCCTCATGACTGAGATTAAACTTCACTGGTGAAAGGAAAAGGAAATCAGTGACCCCACACCAGGAGGGTTAACTAAAATGGTGTATGAAGGGCCCTGCCCCATATGCTATTTTGGGGTGTAAGAAGCCTCTGTGATAATGAGGACTGAAACCCTAACCCTAACCCTTAGTCTGGAATCCAGAGCAGTCCCTGAAGTGGGAGGTGTCAGGAAACTGCCCAAGAGGATGTCCTTGTGGAAGGGATGGATTGCCCAAATATCAGTAGGTAGAGATGGTGAGCGGGAGAGGTCAGAGCAAAGTCTGGGGTGTGCTGGAGAGCACAGCCTAAGGCTGAGACTCAGATTCAGATCCGTGCTGTGAACAGTGTAAGGGCTCATTGCAGACCCAAGCAAACTCACCCATAGGCACAAGGGAGCCTCTCTCTCTCTCTCTCTCTGAGGGTAGCTTGGAAGGAAGAATGGAAAGACCTAGAAAGACAGAGCAAACTCTCAGTGACAAATCCAGTCCCATCTTTCATTAGCAGTGGGTCTTCAGACAAAGTTGGAGCAGTAGGCTGGGGAGCTGCTGTTCTTTCTGCCGACAAGCCAACTGCTGTAGACAGCAACGACCCTGCTCCCTGTGTGTCAGGGGCGCCTGCTTTTGCTTTCTGAGCTGCCACAAGTGCTGACCACTGCATGCCACATGCCCCAGGCCACCTCCTTCTAAAGTTCTAAGGAACCATGACCTCTGCTAGCGCCCAGTCTCTTTGGGACCATCACTCCTCTAGGAATCCCCCAGGAAGGGCAAGCCCCTCTCGTTTCCCCCCGCTGTATCTCGCCATTTTTAGAACTATCACTTTGCGCCGTCATATGTTCCATGGCTGTGGAGAAGAGCCCCGGCGACTCGCCTGATTTTAACACCCATGCAGGTGTTAGCATGCAGGCACTCACAACTACACCTGTGTATCAGCTCTCCTGACTCTCACCGGACCCTCTGGGGTGGCAGCGGTCCTTGTTGTGACTTACACAATGCAGGTGGATCAGACTCACTGGCTGAACAGTGGTGTTTGTGGACAGTCAGAGCCCACGCTCCCTGGCCCCAGCCTGCAGACCTAGCGTCCAGACCTTCTCTCTGTAAGATTCCCCGGTGGTCAGACACTGACAGATGTACAGATGATGGAAGGACGGCAGAGGAGAGACAGAGTCCTGGGTCCCCAGGTCCACGGAGCAATGGTGTCACAGAGCACATCTTGAACTCAGTGAGGAGAAGGCTAATGGCCAGATAGACACCCGGAAGTGTGTAGGGTTCACTCTCTACTGCTTTTAGTCTCTGGTGACTGTCTGCTCTTCCCTAGGCTGGCCTGTCAAGAGCCAAGCTGCAGCCGAGAAGTGGCAGTGTCCCCGCAGGCCTGGTGTCTAGAGGGCCCACACATGTAACACAGGAGGATCTGGGGAGGCACTTTTGGCACCGATGGGCAGACCCGCTTTGCCTTGAAGTCCCTGATCCCTGGTGGTCTTGGGTTCTCCAGGGGAAAACAATAGAGCTTTCTTCTTTCTCCGTACTCATGCCAGTGCAGCCCCTACCACGATCCAGTCCAGCCGCTTTGCTGCCTGCGTTTCCTCCTGGAGCTGCTTGCGGGTTTTGCATTTGCATGGGAAGTTACTTCCTGGTGCTGCCGCCTTGCCGCTCAAGTTCCCTAACCTGGGGTTAGAGGATGCCCTTCTTGACATGAACATCTGCTTCCCTGAGCCTCCAGCCCTCCGAAGACACGGGCAAGGCAGCCTCAGAGGAGGGAGGCAGTGCTGCGCGCTTAGCAGGGGGGCCGGCAGAAAGAGGCGCGGGAGAGCAGGGCTGACAAGGGAAGTACCCCGGCCAGAAGGGGCTCGGGGTGAGGCCCGGGGCTCAGCACTGAGGGGAGGAGCTGGGGTGGAGGGAGGAAAGCCTGGACGCAGATCTGGTGGACCGAGTGCCAGGGAGAGGCTCTGCAGAAAGAAGGGGCGCGAGGCGGGGACTGGGCGAGGGGCGGGGCCGGGACTCGCAGCCTGGAAGCCGCGAGGGCGTTAGGCGCGAGACGGAGGAAATCTGCGCTGGGAGGCCCGGAGCTGGGGCCGGAGCTGCTGAGGACGCCGAGGAGCGGGGAGGCGCGCCGAGCCCAAGATGAGAGCATCGGTGGTGCTGACCTGCTACTGCTGCCTGCTGGTGCGGGTGAGTGAGCCCGCGCCCCCTTCCCGAGGAGGTGCGCCCTGCAGTGGACCGCGGGACTCACCTCCGAGTGCCAGCACCAGCACCAGCGGGCGGAGCGTGGGGCCAGCAGCAGAAGGCACCGGACCCCGGACCCCCACTGAAGCCTTACCTAAGCCAGGCTCGCTGGGCTCATGGGCACTTTGCCTATTCCTCCCGCTATCAGAAGTGGGGCCCAGGTTCTCCTCAACACTCCCTCCCCGGGGTGGGGGGGACGAGACGATCTGGGTCCTGGTCAGACAGTGCGCCTGGAGTTGGGGACACTCCTAGCACCCTGCAAGAAGAGTGGCTGCTGCTGGAGCCACCTGCTCTGGCTTCGCTTCTGAGGGCAAGTGCAGTTGCTCTGTGGTTAAATATTTCTCTTTCCATCTCCTGGTCCTGTGTTTGTTTAGTATGTGACAGAGGGAACGTGGTGTGACTAAGAAAGTTTCCTTTTGGAAATAGTTTTTTTGTTTGTTTGTTTGTTTGTTTTCCTAAAAGAGTAAAGGAACCCCTGAACTGAAGTTTGCAACATGGGTTGCATTGGTTTTCTGTAGTTCTCTCGAGCTCAAACCTTTATTCGGAACCCCTTTTTTAAGAAAGAAAAGAAGGGCTTGAGCCTTATTTCTTGCTCCGCCTCCCCGCCCCCTGCTCTGAGCACTGTGTCCCTGTGGCGCACAAGGTTTCCACACTTACATCTAGGCCTCCTGGCTGAGGAAGCCAACCAAGTTGAGCGTGTGCACCAAGAGGGGAGGGGCTGTTCAAGGAAATCCATCCGTCATTGTTGATGAAATTTCAGTCTTCTGGAGCGCGTCCTCTCCGCCCCCGGGGGCAGCTGAGGGAAGCTTCGCAGGGACGGTGCTGCAGCCTCCGGACTCCCTTCACTTGAACCTTTCAGATGTCCCAAATTTCTCATTGTTCCCCGTGTTCCGGGAATGTCAGAGATGACAGTGCTTTAGTACTTTATCATTTCATCAGTTCTGAAATTGAGATCAATGAGTTGCTGCTTGACATCAGGGTCTCTTAATGAGATGGTGAAACCAAGGCATCTTGGGTGATCTTTAAGTGAAATGAATGAGTCTTGTCCTTTGATTGGGTTAGGAAAATATATTTATTGGTGGAATGCTGGCCTATATCAAACACAGATAGCCATACCTAAATAAGCATGATTCCTTTTCATTGCTTGAAAAAAAAATTTTTTTTTTTTTTGTTAAGACAGGGAGAAACAAAGAGGAAAAAAACTAAACTAAAAGACAAGTAATGAGAGCAAGTGCTCCATAGGCAGCCCAGCCTAGGAGGTCAGGAGGTCGTTGTAAGAACAGGGATCAGCAAATGCTGACTTCCTGGACTGACATCTCACAGTGCTCTCTTCACCCTCTTGTTGGTACACAGCTTCTGCAGCATCTAAGGACCCTGTGAGAGCTCTACCAGAAATGCCCCATGGCTCCCTGGAATCAGATGTGTTTCTCTCAGCTCTGCCTCTACCATGGAATCCCCCCCCTTTTTTTCAGTTAAATTTATTTATTTTTTATTTTTAATTAAATTTTTATTTTTTATATATTATAGTTTATTCATTTTGTATCCCAGCTGTAACCCCTTCCCTTGTTCCCTCCCAACTCCACCCTCCCTCCCTCATCTTCTCCCATGCCCCTCTCCAAGTCCACTGATAGCAGAGGTCCTCCTCCTCTTCCATCTGACCCTAGCTTATCAGGTCTGATCAGGACTGGTTGCATTGTCCTCCTCTGTGGCCTGGCAAGGCTGCTCCCCACTCAGGGGGAGGTGATCAAAGAGCCAGCCAATAAGTTCACGTCAGAGACAAACCCCAATCCCCTTACTAGGGAACCCACTTGGATACTGAGCTGCCAGGGGCTACATCTGACCATGAATGGTTCTTGGATGGAGTATCAGTCTCAGAAAAGACCCCTATGTCCAGATTTTTTTGCTTCTATTTCTCTCCTTGTAGAGTTCCTGTCCTCTCCAGGTCTTACTATCTCCCTGTTCTTTCCTAAGATTCGCTGCACTCTGCCCAAAGCTTGGCTATGAGTCTCAGCATCTGCTTTGATATACTGCTGGGTAGAGTCTTTCAGAGGCCCTCAGTGGTAGGCTCCTGTCCTGCTTCCTGTTCTATCCTTCCTCCAGTCTCTCTCTCTTTTTTTTTTTTTTAAACAAGGTGCTTACCACCAAACACAATGATAATGTTACCTACAGGGCTAAGCGTTTGAATGTGTCTTGAAGCTTGTGAAAGTTCACTTAAGCTGTTCTCACTCTAGGGTGAGCACAGAGCATCTATGCACAGCCCGCAGTGGCTAAAAGTTGCCCTGCTTTACTTTAGCAAACCGCAGACTACAATTTCGGGAGCTCTTGCGGCCTGAGAGGTTTGCGTTTTTAAAGGCCTGTTGCTCTTAAGTTAGCAATAACAACTTACGCTATACAGTGCCAGTTAATTTTTTTGCTCAGAGAAAGTACTCTACTGAATTTTATGTTTGTTTCACAAAATAAATGGTGAAGTTTTTCTTTTTTCTAATAACCATACCAGAAAAACAAAAATAACTATTTTAAAATTAATTTCAGCTTGAAAAGGCTGTAACTGTGAGACACTGGATCTTCCTGCAGATGTTTGCTTAACCCCTGCTGTGTAATTTTTAGTTACTTTGCTTCTTTAACTTGGACAGGTGAACAGCATCCATCCAGAATGTCGGTTTCATCTGGAAATACAGGAAGAAGAGACAAAATGTGCAGAGCTTCTAAGCAGCCAGCCAGAAAAGCACAGAGGTGGGTTTGGGGACTAGGTCGGGGCTGGGGTGGAAAGCCCAGCTGTTGACACTTCTCAGCTCCCTCCCTAATTGGGGGCTCAGAGGTCACCGGCGCCATAGAGACAGATCCGCTTGCACAGTTTTGGTTGGCCACAAGCAAAACTCGTGTAGCCTGGTGACAGTGGGTATTTCACCAAGCCTTTTAAGAGAAAATGTCAGTTATTAACACCAACAGTTCCCGTGACTTGATGAGGCCGGTTACTAACATAATGCTATGGCTCTGTGGTGTTCTGCACAGACAGCTCTGGTTCCCAGAGAGTAACAGCACATATCTGAATTCTTGGCTTTAAAATATCACCTATCCTTGATGTTGGTTCAGCTAAGAATGATAAAAACTTGTCAGAAGCAAACAGGAAAATGGGATTTCAGTTTTCTGAAGATATAGTTCTTATAAATACCATGATTTTGTTGAGTTTTTCCTCTGAGTACAACAAAAGTTTTCTGAAACACCAGGCCTTTGATGTATGCCTCTTCCATGTTCACAACCCCAAAGGACCCTGGGTACCAACCCAGGAGACATCAGCAACACAACCTTTGTCGTGGGTCTCTCTGCTCAGTGATCATGAGTACAACCTCTTCAAGAAGAAAACTGAAAGCTAGGCGATGTTGTTCCAATAGCCTGGTTTTGTTAGAGGCCTCGGGTCCTAGACTCCACTCTGAACCTGTTACCTAACAAAGCAGCTACAGCCACATCACTAATGTGAAACATTAATGTGCTTGTGAGCACATTAAAACAAGTTAAAAATAAAAACACGTCAGCCTGGTGTGTTGGCACACACCCATAATGCCAACGCTCAGAGAGGCAGAGGCAGGTGGATCTCTGTGAGTTCGCAGCCAGCCTGGTCTACAAAGTCCAAGACAGCCAAGGCTGCACAAAGAAACCCAGGCTCAAAAAACTTCAAAATACAAAAATGAATATAAACAAGTGAGATTAATCTTAATAAGATATTTTATATTAACCTAAATTATCTAATTATAATTTTGACTTATAAACAATAAATTATTGTTTCTTTATTCTTTCTTTGCATTAAGTTTTATAACATAGTGAACTTTAAATGTTATTAGCACTTAACTTTTGGAACACTTTTCAAGCCTCCAGAACCACAAACTGGCCAGTGGCTACCACACTAGGCAGAAAGGCTGTGAATAGCCACTTTTTCCCTGCCTGTCTGCCTGCCTGCCTGTCTGCCTGCCTGCCTGCCTGCCTTCCTGCCTGACTGCCTGCCTGTCTGCCTGCCTGCCTGCCTGCCTGCCTTCCTGCCTGCCTGCCTTCCTGCCTGCCTGCCTGTCTGCCTGCCTGCCTTCGTGCCTGCCTTCCTGCCTGCATGCCTGCCTGCCTTCCTGCCTGTCTGCCTGCTTTCCTGCCTGCCTGCCTTCCTGCCTGCCTGTCTGCCTGCCTGCCTGCCTGCCTGCCTGCCTGCCTGCCTGCCTCAGATCCCTGTTTCCTCATCTGAGAGTGAAGGCTCTGGCTCCAGGCTTCTTTTAAAGACCTGTGATTTTACAGCACACCTGTAGTTCTGAAGACCACATCCCCCACATTGTCTAGTTGATCTCAGTTCATAGATGCAAACACAGTTAATAAGTGTCAATACATGTGTCCCTGTGAAGGGCTGTCACTGAAGAACTGACTCCAGTGGGCAACAGATGAGAGAGATAGGTCAGCTTGTGGCCACTGAGGCTGGCTCTACTCTGTAAAAATTCAGAGTTCAGGAAAACAATCCGGTGGCAAAGGCTCTCACACACAGGCACAGGCACATACACAGGTACACTCACACACACACAACTCCAACAAAAACAATGAAAACAATAGCAAGAAGAAGAAAAGGAGGAGGAGAAAGATTAGATCTGTTAGAGCTGCGTCTGGTGAGGTGGCTTAGTGGTTAACAGCACTGGCTGGGTTCCCAGCACCCACAGCACCCAAACATTGGTAACCACGATCCCAAGGGATCCAGTGCCCTCGTTAAGACTCCACAGGCTTCTGCAGATATGTAGTGCCCACACATACTCGCAGGCAAACACTCGTGCACATTAAATAGAAATCAATCTTTTTTTTAATAATACAATTAAAATAAGACTTTTATGGGAGCAAGGCAGACCTCTGTGGCCAGTGATGATTAGAGCTGATAGCTGAGCTGCTAGGCTGGGTGGCTTGCTCAAAGACAGCACCCCGAGACAAGCTTCCTGGGTTGTTCCCAGAAGGCAACCTGTGTGAAAAGCAGAGGTGGCGCCTGTGAAAACTGCTCGGCTTTCCTCTGTGCTTGACCGGCATGGCCAGGTGGATGGGGTCTGTGGGATTTCTCCCTAGTTTGACATACAGACAGACCTCACCGGTTTTCTTGCAAGGACAGTTGCCTGCTTGGATGTATGTTGAGGGCTCCTATTTTCAGTATCAGCTTACAGGAAAAAAAATAAATAAATGTGTCTGATTCATCCACCTTTCTACTTTGCAAGAACTGTTTGGTCACCAGCCAGCCACCCTCAGGAGAGCAGAGCTGACCATCAGAGCAGCCACTGTGCAGCTCCCAGAAGAGGCAGTCCGTGTCTGCTCTCTAAAGTATGCAGGGCTCCAATGCCAAGAATATAAATAGCAGTAGGCTACCAGGATGAAGATGCTGCGGGCAATGGGAGCCAGAGGCTGTGCAGGGCCAGAGCTGAGGGAGCGTGTCTTGTGGGACAAGGCCATAGGACACATCCTCATGAAGTCACAAGTGACACTGTTGAGTTCTTGGCCTCTGTGAGAGCCGACCTCATATTCCGTAGCAGTGTGGAACTCGTGTAAAAGAACTTCAGAAATTAGAAACAAAGCAGCTTCAATGCTGTCAAAATAATTTCCACAGCCCTAATGTGGCACTCTCCCACTTTACTACATGAAGAATCAAGAAAATAAAATGAAAAGATGTAAAAGGTCCATATAGAACCAATGTCAATTCTTAGGGAAAGATTAAGGACTCAAAAAGCTGTGGAGGTCTGTGGAGTCCTGTAAGTTAACTTTGATTCATTGCTCAGACAAATGTAATCTTGGCAGTCTGTGGGTGAGGGGCCTGCGTCACAGGTGGTTGAGAGCGTCCTCCAGGACGTCAGGATAGCAACCTTCCTGTGGCTCCACATCACCTCATGCCCACATCTACAGCCACTGCAGGGCCTGGCAGAACAAAAGTTAGACTGGCATGCCTTGGCAACTACCTCCCTGAAAAACAAGGTGGTGCGCCAACGGAAGTGTGACGGTTCCGGTCAGCTTAGAGCCAGGGAAAGGAAGGTTTGCTTTAAACAAAAACTGGTGGACTCCTTGGAGGACTGTGAAGGCTTGCCCCCTGCTGGCAAGCAGCCTGACTGACAGTAGCCATCCTCAGGTTCATCATAACAGCAGATGGGAAATGTTGGGCCAGAGACAGGCGCCCCTGCTTCTCCCACAGTTCATAGCTTCATACTCTCTAGGGTCCCTGTACAACTTAAACGGCTCTCAGGGACAAGGCCATGCATCCAGGCCATAGCCCCACCCTAGGAAATCCCCAGTATCCACATCAGGTCCTCAGAATCCTGTCAGCCAGTTAAGGATCCAAAGGAGTGTGCCTTCCTTGCCAGACTTCGTAGAGGAGCAGTCTGTCACCCAGAGCTGTTTGCATCTGACGGTCTCAGAAGAGAAGTGAACAATCCTGGAGTCTCCTCAGAAGGCGTGCATGAAAGGGCTCAGCAGCTCACACCAGAGAACTCTTAGCAAACTGAGACACTTTCTTCTGCTTATCCAGGTGTGGTGTGCAGGCACCAGTGACCACGTCACACTGACCATCAATTAGGCCTCCTCCCCTCTTGTTCTTAAGAGATAGGAAGAGAGCACATTTTGTTCCTGCTTTATCTCCCAAATCGTACACCATGCCTTTAAAAATATTTGGGCTAGCTTTTGCTCAAGGAATTAATGAACATTTTTAGATCAGAAAAAAGTGTTAGGAATTCGTGACTGTGCACACAGAGTAAAGCAGCTAAAGTGTGACAGGGAGAAGCATGTCCATGTCCGCCCTCCCTTGCCCTGAGAGACTGGCAGTGCCAGTGCCCGGTGCCCTCCAAAGCCAACTCTGCATGTGCTTGTCCTGGTCTGTGTCTTGATCTTTCTCTCTTTTGTTTTGGAGACCATGTCTGCTCTATATTCTCCTTCACATTTATATAGTATCTGCTACATTCCTTTGGTTCCTTCCAGCCATTGAACTTTTAGAGGGTGACAATATTTTGCTATTAGAAATGATGTCCTAATGTTCTTAGGAATGAAATATCTCACCTGCATTTGACTGCAAGACACTAATCATGAGACTGAGTCAGCTTCTTGTGACCTAGTAAAGAACCGGGCTCGTGTGGTGCAGCCCTTCTTACGTGGAGAGGACTAGAGCATGAGGGGAAAGCTTGAAGCAGGAGGAAAAGCAGTGTGTATTTCCACCAGGTGCTGAGGTCCAGGGAGGGCGCGTCCCAGGCCGTGATGGTGAACAGGCACTGCAGGGCGGCAGTGCGGAGGGGCCTGGGGCTTGCTACCAAACGCCAGGACCCTCAGGGTGAGGACACTGAGTCCAGACAGGGGGCTTGGTAGGCCTCCGACCCTCTACCTCTGCTGGTTCCGCATCCTCTGTTAGGAACAGAGCAGCATTTTCAAGAAACACTGCCTCCTTCGGTGTCTGCTCAAAGATTCAAGCACCACTTGAATGCTGAGTCCACTCGCAAGTTCTAAGCCCTGTTTGGTGTCTTCATCTGTGTACTCATCCAAAGCTGGCTCTCCAGTGAGGGTTTCTGCCAGGTCACCACCTGCCTGGAAAAGTTACTGTTTTCTTTCCCTGTACCCACGTTGGCTTCTGAGGCTCCAGGCAGCACCCTGTGTTCTCTCTGATCTGCCTTGCTCTTCCATGTTGCTCCCCACATTATACCTCTGACTTGAACCTCTTTCTGTCTTTTCTGGGTATAAGGTAAGGTTTCGGGGAG